GTCTACCATGTTTGAATTTATTTTAGTTATTTGACAAATTAGATTTTAGATGTACTGCAATAGTTACTTTCCCTGGTAATTAGTTACTTTTATAATTATGTAACTCAGTTACTATTTGTGTAAAGTAACTAGTAACTTTTAATGGAACGTGCTCAACACTGATCATGATGTTATATTGGTATAGTCTGGACAGTGAAAAATATTGCGATTTGAATTCTCACATCGCCCACCCGACTTGAGACTTAGCAGTTTGCACTGCAATGAACCATAATTGTTAGCTATTTTAATAAAACAGGGTTTATACGGTCATGGAAAACATTGAAAAGTAATGGAATTTTGACATGACATTTTCCAGGCCTAAAAAAGTTTTGGAAAAACCCACAAAGTCATGGAAATTTGTTTAACAAATATCTATGTATATAGAAATTTGGCTGTGCAAAATTGGAAACATCTGCCAATACCATATTTTGCATTTCTGTGATGCATGTCCTGACATGAATACAATTTCACCAGATAATTTAACAGTTTATTGGGGTTGATTGGGGGGATTTTGTAGAGGAGTGAATCTCGAATAATATATAACAAATAAATTACAAGCATAGATGAATAAAATATAGTAAAGATAAAAGCGAATGATAGTTTTCAGGCATTCACTATTCAGGTACAGATATTGAATAATCAACACTGCATATTGTATTTTATTTAATCTTTGTTACAAAAAATTTCTTGTGGCCGGATCTTTTAAACTCTGAAGTAAAGGACAGTTACCCAAAGATTAAAATGTACTCACTATTGACTCACACTTCACTTGTTTCAATACTATAGGAGTTATTCAATTATATTATTTTTGTGTCCATTTAAAAAACAAAGGAAACTCATAAATGTTTGAAACATGTGAAGTGTCATGAAAATGGCAAGTAATTTTGGGGGTAACAATCTCTTTAAAAATGCATGCAGATGATAAATTTTTACTCCATTTTGATTAAACTCTATAATAAACTATAATCCCAATATTGCATATCCTGCGATGCGACTATTGTGGATGCACAGATTGAGATATCAATGCTGAAACGATATATTGTGCAGCCCTAATTTGAATATAGTTTAGTTGTCTTCTTTTCTGTCCTTGGGCAAAAACTTGCTCTCACATTATTAGTGCTGTGTAAGCATTATCAAAATCAATATGAAAACAAATTTAAACAAAATAGATTGTTGCGTGTTCTCTGATATGCTGTAATACATTTGAACAACATTGTTTTTCTTATTATTAACCATGTATATCAGTGGTCACCAAACTTGTTCCTGGAGGGCCGGAGTCCTGCAGGTTTTAGCTCCAACCCTAATCAAACACACCTGAACAAGCTAATCAAGGTCTTACTAGGTATACTTAAAACATCCAGGCAGGTGTGTTGAGGCAAGTTAGAGCTAAACCCTGCAGGGACACCGGCCCTCCTGGACCGAGATTGGTGACCCCTGATGTATATGTAGACATTACATTAAGTATTACGTCATGAAAATCTACTTGAAAGTTCTGGATAAGTCATGGAACTTTAGTAGTACATATATGTATGAACCCTGATAATATTAATGTAAAATGAAACATACCTTCTCCTTTCTGTTTCCACTAGTCACAATGACCTAGCCCCTCTGTCTGCATCCCTGCTTTCTGACTGGCTGGAGGTGCATCGCATGACCCCTGCGGACATGGAGTCACTTCAGCAGGAGCTTCAACTGGGATCTCCCATGATCCTCTCAGACAACTCTACGCTTCCTGATACCTGATCGCTCCATTTTCATCCTCCATCCCCTCGTAGAACCGGTTGAGGAACTTGATATCCGCATTGTCTACTAGTGTACGAGCTAGTAAAAGAGCATTTACCTAGAAAAAAACAACAAACATCTCACCCAGAAAAGTGCCTTCATCTTTAATGGGTTCATAAACATTATTTATTAGTGCCAAAATATAAATAAGATGCTCTTCGGTTCTCAAAGGGCTTCATTTCTCCAAATTTCAGTGCCATTACTAAGCAGTTCAGAAGTACCAGGAAGTTCAGCTGTATTCGTGCCATTGATTTTTAGATTCATTTCAAGCAGATAGCAGCCTTTTTGCAGACCAGCATTGAAAGCTATTTTCCAGTACACTACAGTCACCAGCAGGGCGGCAGTATTACAGTGGATGAAACACAATAAGGGCAGCAGACAGAGCACAATGGCCTCATTATTGGAGACTGTAGAAAGTAGTGCCATGTAGGAAACATTTCATTCAATGTTGCATGAATGCCTTGTAGAACGTAGTGAAACCACATGCTCAGTTTTACACCAGCAACTAAAGAATAAGTATTGTTGTCTTGAATAAAGCTCTCAAAGGTATTCCTGTGTTGTGTAATGCACGTTAGTGTCCTTCCATTTTGTTTCTGCAATGCTGTTTCCAGTAGTAATCTCGCCAATTATGTTATTTCGGATAGTGCTCGTTAAAGCATTATACATATTACAGAGCATTTTGAATGCTCAGGGAGACTTTAAATAATTTCTTTGTTTATATGGAAGATGATTATCAGTAATATGCAAATTGAGTACCCTGTAAATCCAGTTGTGACTGTGTGCAGAGCTGTTTAGCGGTGGCCACAGTTAAATTTAGATTTTTTATTTTTTTTTACGTCTATAAAGGTGAACCTACATTTTCAAAACACTTTACTTGAAGGTTTGCTCATAAAACTGCCATGAAACCTTTATAATCATGACATGTCATGAATGAAGGAGGATTTATGCATGCTTATGACAACTGTTAAGAGTAATTTGCTGTTATGACATTTCAAATGCAATGATGACATTGTTTCTTATGACAACCAAATACATCACAACCAGTATTCATCTGTCATGACAACTAGACTTAAACATGATTGTCACAAGGCATTATAATTGTGTCATGAATATTTTTCTGATCACAATTTCAATGGAACTAACTGGATTGGTTAATAAAATGCCTAACGTCATTATTCTGTTAAATAATTTTTAAAGGCGTCATTAATATTTATTAACAAAATCAGCTTGTACTACAGTAGTTTGGAAAAAAGGCAAGGTTATGAAATTCATCCATTACTTCATGACAATCATGTTTGACATTTATAAGTTTTGTGGTCATGGTAATGTTAAGTTGTCAAGACAAAAACAGGTTAAGATGCGTTTTTTTTATATCAAGTTGTCATAAACCATGTCATAATTGCATTTGTAACCCACAGAGGTCCTACTACATCCAACCCTGTCTGAGCTGGGATCCAACCAGTGATTCTTTGTATGGGAGTGGGTTGCTCTAACAAGGAGGCCATGGCCTCTAGCGTCTGTCATTAGAGCACCTTTAGAGGTCAGATGAGTGAGGTTCACCTGCATAGCACTTCGCTGGCTAGCCTCAGTTACCTCACTCCCATCCCAGACGAGCCCCCACGTGTAACCCACTGCTTCTACTGTACCCAACATGGTCTGAGCTGGGATTGAACCGGTGATTCTTTGTATGGGAGTCCATTGACTTAACAAGGAGGCTAAAGACCATGGCCTCTAGCCAGGGCCTGGAGTGGGACTCCTTTTCAGCCCTGGAGTTTCAAGCCTCAGACCGGCCCACCTCAGTTCACGACTGACTATATTAAAATAAGGTCATTTCCAATTCAGTTTCTAATTACACTATCACTATCACAACCCAAACAGTATTATATGTCTCAACAATAAAAATTAAAATAATAATTTACTCAGGCGAGGATCAAACCCGGGTCGGCGACGTTGTAATCTAACGTGCTAACCACTGGGCCACAATGGTTGTTTAGTGAAAGGTGACTTATAACATTATGAACCTGCAGGCTGGTTATATATGAAAAGAGCAGAGAGCTGTATTAAATTAATGAATAAGAAGACTGTGGTCAAGTAAATAAATAAATTAATTTAAAAAGTGTGACTGCTTAGAGCAACAGATTCTGTAGCTTGGGACACCGGCCCTCGCGGCCAAAAAAACAGACCGGCCCACCGGGAATTCTCCCGGTCCTCCCGATTAGCCAATCCGGGTCTGCCTCTAGCATCTGACGACAGAGCACCTTATGAGGTCAGATGAGTGGGTTGTTAGCTGCATAACAATTCTCTAGCTGGTCTCTGTTACCCTCATTCCCTAATCCTCACTCCCATCCCGGACGAGCCCCCAAGCAGTCCTACCGCACACAACACGGTCTTAGCTGGGATCGAAACAACGATTCTTTGTATAGGAATCAGTTGCTCTAACAAGGAGGCTAAAGACCATAACCTCTAGTGTCCGTCACTCGAGCACCTTTTGAAGTCAAGAGGAGTGAGATTTAACCCACATAGCATTTCGCCTCACTCCCATCCCAGATGGGATTGTAACCCACCGGTCCTACTGCACCCAACCCTGTCTTAGCTGGGATCAAACCAGAAATTCTTTGTATGGGAGTGGGTTGCTCTAACAAGGAGGCTAATGACCATGGCCTCCAGCGTGTCTCACTAGAGCACCTTATAAGGTCAGAGTGAGGTTCTACCTCTACAGCACTTCACTAGCTGGCCACCGTTACACTCATTCCCCCTAAACCACACTCCCATCCCGGACGAGCCCCCACGTATAACCCAACACAGTCTGAGAGATCCAGTGAGAACCAGTGATACTTTGTTTGGGAGTCGAATGCTCCAACACTGGCCTCCTTAAGTAATGGCCTTTGTTATATTTAAAATGTCATAACCAAGCGAATGACACTTAAAGACAGTTATAAGCATGCATAAAATCTGACTCACATTCATGACAGGTTATGTCATGAATAAAGGTTTAATGAAAGTTCTATAAAGTGTTACTAAAAGAACTGTTGTATGCATTTATATGTTTGCAAATTGTTTAAAGTTTATCAGTCATACAAAGCAAAAGCCACAAAAATGTCAAACAAGGAAACATTTCTAATGACAGGACCAGCCTGTTCCCCAGTGTTTACCCCACCATAAAATATATGCATGATAAATATTTTTTTAAAAACATCAAATTTATTACAAATTTTTATTTACAAAATTCCAGGAGAAACGATTAACAACAGATACAAATATACAACTAAAAGGTAAATAACATTACTGTGCAAAATAGCTCATTTAAGCTTTATATTCACGATTGTCAAATCTCACATTAGATCTGTTCAAACAGCATTTCATGTGGATCTGCATATTTACAGTTTCATTCCGCAACTGAAACATTTCATAGTTAATTAAACTTATAAATCTGAGACAGATAAAGGAGGATTTTAAATCAAAGCAGCTGCTAAGAGAGTTTCATTTCAATAAATCATTATTTTTGGTAATAAAAGTTAAAGTATGAAAGAAACTACATTTAAAATGATTAAAGCTACTTTAAAAATCCCTCTTTACACAGGACGGTGTTGATGTTTTGGTCAGTGTGTGTTCATCTGAGCAGCTGTACCAGCACTAGTAGAGTCAGAGTCCGGATGAGCACCAGGACGCGGTCGGCCCAGTTGTGATTGGATGAGCTCTTCAGCTGGATTCCTCCAACATGGGTCTGGATGAAATTGGTGAAACTCGACACTTTGGCGTAAACTCCAGGTCGGTTTGCTTCAGCACATCCGAGACCGAAGCTCACAATTCCAGCCTGAACCCAACTCCCATCACTGATCTGACAAGCCAGAGGCCCACCAGAATCACCCTGAAAAAAGCAACATGCAGTGAGGAATAATTTCATGTAGAGTTTTATAAGCTTCTAATGGCATCAAATTGTGTTATTGAAAATAATTTGCTGAAGCCACGATATTTAAAAACTGCACAAAAGAAAAAAAAGTTTAAAGTTTTTTTGTTTTGTTATTATACCTGTTGGTGTATTGCATTAGCATTAGGGCTGCACAATATTGGAAAAATCTCATAATAACAATATTAATATTTTAGTGTGTATTTGAATAATGATGGCTGGTTCCATTACTTGAAAGTTAAGATTTGATTATCATAATTTGTGTTGTTTACAGAGTTTGAGGTTTACTGTATTATTATCCACACCTTAAAGTTAGCTTTGATTGTTCAGCGGTTGCACTTTACCATTGCACACACTTTGTAACATCTTATTAATCAAGTTTAAGAGTCTCTTTAACACTTTTGTTTATTCTGTTATAAAGAGCTCAGAAATTTTATTTATACATTTATGTTTTTCACTTTTAAAACTATTTGCCTTAGTAATGTTGGTAAATTAAAATAAAGTGGTTAAATAAATAAAAAAAATCCTAATATTTCTAAATGGATTGTTAAAAAAAATTCAATAAATATTGATACCAAATTATATGAAACATGATATTGTGATAATTTTTGTTTACAATAAAATCACCCATCCCTAATGGAGTCTTATTAATTAAAGTGTTACTAATGCTGGGCATATCACTAGGTACAATACACATTTCACTAAAAATTAAACAAGATTTTAGAAAATGTAATAAAATGAATTCCTTAAAAAAATACTGAAAATATAAAATTATTAAATTAAATAAACAAAATTAAATATATATATATATATATATATATATATATATATATATATATATATATATATATATATATATATATATATATATATATAGATAGAAGCATTCTTTAACGCCATATACATTTTATTCTCTCCTCACCTGGCAGGAGTCTTTGCCCCCCTGCTGGAAACCTGCACACATCATGTCCAGCCGGATGTCAATGTTCTCTGTGGGGTTTGTCAAAAACATATCCTGACAAATCTGAGAGTCGATGATGGGCACCTGGACCTCCTGCAGCGGCCCGACACCCTGCAGAGCAACTGAAAGACAGGACAAAAAAAATAAAAATACACAATGAAAATTGAGAATTTGAATATTTTCAAAGTCTGACAAGACACTGAATTTGAAAGAATTTAGCACTTTATTCAACAAGGGTGCATAATGTTACAAAAGATTACAAAAAAGTGTTTATAATATTAATATATAATAGAAAAATCAGCTTGGAATCATCAAGCTTAATAAATCACATCTGCTAAATAGATTTGTGCAATTGAAGTAAGTTTTCCTTCTTTGGTGCATCAATTCAGAGCAGGGGTGGCCAATTCTGTTCCTGGAGAGCTACCTTAGTACAGATTTCAGGGGCAACCCATAATCAACACACCTGCCTGTAATTATCACGTGGTGTTTAGGTCCTAATTAATTGGTTCAGGTGTGTTTGATATGGGTAGCAACTGAAATCTGCAGGAAGGGGGCTCTCCAGGAACAGGATTGGCCACCCCTGCATTAGGGGACCTTGATCTCTGCTCTGACTAGGGGTCTAACGGATCAAGGTTCGTAATTCGTAAGGATCACAACCCACAGACCCGCAAAGATTGGTAGATTAATTGTAGATTAGCTCTTTGTTAAAACCCAAAAGTTTCTTGCCGTGCTGTTTTTTTAAGAAATAGATAGCAAATTACATGTCTCCTCCCCTTTTTGGCTGATCCGAAAAATGGTCCGATCCGTGACTTAAAAAAAAAAAAAAACCTGCATCCAAAACCGCCAACTACTCGGTAGGTGCTGGATTTGAATTGAAATGTACTTTCTATACAGTATGAATGTGAAAAGTATGAATGGAATTCGGACGTACAACATCCGCCATTTTGTCATGATCATGCGACCTATCTGCATCAGTTGCATCACTCACGGGGCATCATGGGATAGCATAGCGTGCATGGGATGCGCATATATATACATATACATACATATATATATATATATATATACATACACATACATATATATATACATATATATATATATATATACACACATATATATATATATATATATATATATACACACATATATATATATATATATATATATACACATATATATATATATATACACATATATATATATATATACACATATATATATATATACACACA